AAAAAAAAAAAAGTCATGGCGAGTTAAACGACACTTCTAAAGTTTAAACATGTGCAATAGAGAACTGGAGATCTTGAAAAAATATAGAAATTTATTCAGAAGATATGGGGTGAAGATTCAATTCCTAAATTTCCAACAAGCTCAACAGGAATGCCAATGATTCTGTCTCATGATAATATTTTGCCTAACATGCAGTGAACTGTAGACACTGGATTTATCCCAGTTGATTTCTGAACCAATAAACAAAGATGATACCCATTCACAAGTGCAAACAATATTACTGCTATAATAGGGCAGAAAAAGTAAATCATAATCTGATAAAAAAAAACTAGTTTAAAAAACAAAAAAACTAGTGTTTGGCCAAGTTCAAGATACCTGGCATATTTTCTAGTCTCTAATCATGTCTTTAAATATGTCCTTTTTAGCATTCTGGAAAGCCAGACTTTGCTAATTATTCTGGTTTCCAGAACATGGAGATAATTTAGGCAGTTAATAGGGTCCTCTGTAAAAGTGCATGTGCTTCACCTCATTTATGCAGAACTGACAGAACTTCCAGATGGAAGCTAAGCTGCACATATTCCCCTTCTTTGCTAACATTCAATGACCCAACTTCATCCACAATGGGAATCTAGGGGCATCCACATTTTCCCATTTTCAGCAGAGAGAAAGGGAACGTTTTCACCATTTCAGGATATAAATTTAAGGTAGAATATTTTATGATGTATGAGAAGCTTGGATGAAGAGAATAGAAAGAAGACTCTGCCATATATGTGGAGGAGAAGGATTTTTGGAACCCCTTGACTATTATAAGAAATAGACTTGTATTTGAAACAAACTCATTGGGCAGGAACATCACAAGAGACGTAAAAGTTGGCAAATTCTAAGAACATGATAGTGCAGGAGAAACAGAAGGCACAGCACTAGACCTTGGACACATTTACCTGAGGAGCAATCATTTCTTTCTCTTTCTCCTCCTTGCCTTGACTTCCTTCTCAGGGGAGAGTATCTGGACATGTTACTCCTGCATCTTGATAATATGTCTTTAAAGGCATCACCCTAACCCCTGCACTACTACCACCTACCATATCCACAGACAGAGGGACCTCAAAGTACAGAAAAAATTTCACCCTTTCCTATTCTTTTTGTTTTAATTTTATTTTTTTTAAAACTAGCTTTATCGAGATATAATTTGCATACCATAAAGTTTACCTGTTTTAAGTAGATGGAGATCCTTGATATTTTCTTTCTTTTTTTTTTATTAAATGATAGCTGTGTATATAAATGCAAACATGGGGTACAGTGTAGTGTTTTCACATCCAATTTGAAATATTTTCATCAAACTGGTTAACATAGATTTTATGTCCCTTTCCTATTCTTTATTACAGGAGTTATGGAGAAGGAGATTCCACATAAAGACCAAGGTATTTTTTTTTAAATTTGTTTTTTTGAGACAGAGCCTCAAGCTATCCCACTGGGTAGAGTGCTATGGCATCACAGCTCACAGCAACCTCCAACTCCTGGGCTCAAGTGTGTCTCCTGCCTCCGCCTCCCAAGTAGTCGGGACCACAGGCACTTGCCACAATGCCCGGCTACATTTTGGTTGCAGCCGTCATTGTTGTTTTTTGTGGGCTTGGGTTGGATTCGAACCTGCCATCTTAGGTGTATGTGGCTAGCACCTTAGCCACTCGAGCCACAGTGCCAAGCCAAAGTGTAGGTATCTTATTTCTTGGCCTCCAGTGCCTTTCTCACCAACAATTTCTGCTATGGAAATGAAAATATGGGCCCTGTGACCTCTTTCTGGAAAAAAAAAAAAACTCCACTGTCTTAAATGTACCCGGAAACCCTCATGCTTGATACTTGCCTAACCTTAGCATCACATGGGGCACTTAATGAAAACCACAGGATGACACAGCCCAGACTCACAGAATCTGTGGGAAGGCAGAGTCACAGATGAGGTGCTTCTTCAAACTGACCACGAAATCCTACTGGCCTGGGCTGAGGACCACTTAGCTAAGCATCACCTCTCAAGGTTTAATATGCATACAAGTTATTTCCCATTATGCCCACTCTAAGCATCTCATTCTGCAACAGCAGCACCTACTCTATTTTCAAGCAAATGATCACTTTATATACATGATGCCTATTTATGTCCTTGCTTAGGAATTTCAGGAAGAAGACCGGCCCCATGGCTCACGTCTATAGTCCCAGCATTCAGGAGTTCCAGACCTGCCTGAGCAAGAGTGAGACCCCGTCTCTAAAAATCAGCAGGTGTTTTGGTGGGCACCTCTATTATCAGCTACTCATGAGGCTGAGTCAAGAAGTTGGCTTGAGCCCAGGAGTTTGAGGTTGCTGTGATCAGTGATGTCACACCATGCTACAGAGGGCAACAAGGTGAGACTCTCTCTTAAAAAGAGAAACAAAAATATCACCAATTGTTTTGAGCCATTAACTAAAGAATGAAGATTGCAGAATCCCCATGGGAAGTTTTTTTTGAGACAGAGTCTCACAACGTCACCCTTGGAAGAGTGTCGCGGCATCACAGGTCACAGCAACCTCCAACTCTTGGGCTTAAGTGATGCTCTTCCCTCAGCCTCCCAACTAGCTGTGACTACAGGTGCTTGCCCCAATGCCTGGCTATTTTTTGTTGCAGTTGTGATTGTTGCTTAGCTGGGCCAGGCTGGGTTCAAACCTGCCAGCCTCAGTATATGTGGCCTGCACTATAACCATTGTGCAACAGGTACTGAACCCCTGCTCCCTCCACCTTGGGAATTAAGGAAGGAAAATAGTGAACAGTAAACCCCTGTTTCAGTTTTGGTCTAGCTCAGCCACCCAGACTGCCAGACGGCAAGAAACCGTTTCTATGAGACATCTAGATCTACAGTTTCCCAAGCTCCTTTCCCCTTTCACCGAACCTTCTGGTCAATTGAGGAAGATCAGGTGGTCTTTCTAAAGTTAGTCAGCCATCTCCCCATATTGCTC